TCACTAAGTGTCTCGCCTCTTTGTGACCCGATCCCGGATCTAACACTTTTAACAATTTATAATTTTGTGAAGCCATCCAGAGTCATCTTTTGGGTTGGGAGACCCAGAAATTGGGTAAATATATGCATATGTTTTATAATTCTTTTACTGGATCTTACAGCCACTGTAAAACAAATGGGGATGAGAAAAAGATTGTTTGATCTTCTCCTTTTTGGCTATTTTCTCAGCAAAAAACCCCACCAGATATTTTGTTGGGTGATATAAAGAAAAACCTGTTCCACAGCAGGGGTCAGTACAATTGATGTGATGGGGGTGGAAAAGGCTAAACTGGTGGCATGAAAATAAGTTCTCTCTGTTATGAAGGAAGGCATTGGAAAATGTATGTTTCATTCAATTTTACCTTTTGGGCTACAAATGTATTGTTTTTTCCTTCTTCCTCTGCCACATCTCACTTTGTTATAAATCTCTCTTCACTTATTTGTTATAATTTTACTGCTTAGTGAAGGATCTGTCAACTTGCCAATCAGGGAAAAGTATTAAAATAATAAATAAATAAATGTTGGCAAGCAATTAAGAACCTCTGAAAATCATGTGGTCAGAAAGCAATCTAAGTCAAACTAAAATCATGGTAAATATATGTCATGATTGAGAGTCTTTCTTTTTCAATGAATAGGAGGCACCATTTTAATGTTTTAATGGCAGGTGAATTCAATCTTCCTGCAAACACAGAAAATGAGAGAGGGTAAAACTCTTCAACCATTCATAAATTTATGCTGGAATTACATCAATAAATTCCAAATTGGAAGACTATAGCAGGTGGAATTGCCCTTTCCACTCAAGGTTATATTAAAAAGGATACTTCAGGGAGTCTTTGATGTAGAAAAACATATCATTGGATGATTCCACTTCTTCATATAACATTGTATGACTTCAGGAGAATTAATCCATGTGATTTCTCTCTTATATTTTAGGTCACATTCTGTAGAGCTGTGTCTATTCCTCACACAGTTTTTCAGTTTAATTAAACTTATCCAAAATACTTTCTACGAGATTTGGATGGAAGAGACATCACAATATAGTTTTCCCCCCACTGAAAAATTACAATGAAAATTAGGGATTTCTTTTTAAGCAATGTGTTGTCCAACAAAACAGAACACTTTATGGACTGGCACATTCATTCACTATGGTAAGTCCACTAAAGACTGTTTCCCACTATTTCTCAGCTCAACAACTGTGCACCAAAAGTATGTATTTTAGTTTAGAAGCACAGGGGGAAAAAGCATACTATATATCAAAGAGACATATCATATGTATCATAGAGACATATCATATTCGGGTAAGTACATATAATAGTTTTTGGAGTTTTCTTTAATAGTTTTGCTATTTAAAAAAAATTCTTTTATAAACCAAGAAAGATTGATTCCTTGCTGGCAACACACTTTTGTAAAACTGTCATACAGTCTTATATTCATTATTTTGGAGAATGTCCCTCCAGGTGCCAGATGTGACATTTTCCAGAGATTATTTGGAGCTTGTATAACTCTTGAATAAGTCATTAAATAACGTTTGTTTCAGAAATTGGGATGTTAAATAATGAAGTTGTAAGGAGTAATCATGAGACATGATATCATAGCCTAAAAATTCAACCCAAACAACCCATCTGGTCAGCTCTACTAACAGCACATCCTGGCCAATGGTCAATGTATGTAATTTATTAAGTAGTAGGTGACTGCTGGACTGTTCTTCAGAAACATGCTATGGTTTCATGCTGGACTTAAGCTTATGCCTTTACCAAAACCTCAGCTCAAACTTTCTCCTGATCACAAGGGGCTCAACTCAACAGGAGTTTTGCTGGCAGACCACACAGCAAGCAAGTTTCTTACTAATTTCTTACAGTGCTCTTGACCTTTGATATTATGGCTACTGCATCTTCTAAAGCCAGTGATCTGTCAGAGGTGCCAGAGTTGATCAAAGCAGGAAGCCTACTGTAGTGAATAATCACGCAGTAAGGGCAATCCTATAACCTCCCTCTCCCACCACCCATGTTACACAAACATTCAAATAAGCCCAACACAGCTCCTAAGAGATTTTTGCTGAAATGTGAGAGCTAATTAGCATTTATTTTTCTCTGTCCATATATATCAGTTGCATTCGAAACATTATTACACAAGGTCAGGATATTTCAAATACTTACAATGAAAAGTCTCTGAATCCCCAAAGCAAGTCTTTCTGTTTTCACTTTCCATGATAGAGGCACAGGTGAGTTCAGGAGGAAAACCAATGGTTTCTGATGAATATGCATTGAAGCAATTGGATTCAAATGCAAAACAACCTGTAAGATATAAACAAATAACTCAAGACACTACAATTACCACTTGATCCAATTGAACAATAAATTAATAATAATAAGCACTTCTGCTGTAGGGGCTTAATTACTTCAGGGGCCACCTAGTAACTTGCACATAGACTTGCTCACAGATTTGAAATATTTTTTCTATTTTCTACAGAAAGAGCGAGGCCAAATCTCAAAGTCAACAGCACTTAAGGGTTACTTAACTGACAAATGAAATGTCAAGACTAGCATCATTTGGCATGTGCTGAACTGAGGCTTATGTCTTTTCCAGGCAAGAAGATAGGGATAGAAGAATGGGAAGAAGAAATACCTTCTTTGTGTCTTCCTCTCTCCAGTCCTCCTCCTCCTTTCAACAGTGGCAAGATTAGACATGCAAGTAAGGGAATGTGAAGAGCAACAGGATGGAAGTGAAGGATGTGCTATTCTCAAGGAGAAGCCCCTGAAAGTATCTTGCTAAATAAAATTGCACCATCCCTCAGGGAATTTTCTAAGATAAAGGCTGGGGGGGGGGGGGCATGAAGGTGAGTAGTACATTTAAGAACACATTTAGCTCATGACCGAGTTAAAAATTAAACCTGACACTTCCAAATCATAGTTTTTACATCCTGGGTATAGTTCTACTCAAGGACCAGGGCTGGCAAGAACATCCTTGTTTGAAATCACCCAACCTGCTAATTATAATGAGCAGCAATAGTAAAGACACTAACACCTTAGTCGCCCTTTGACCCAGCAAAATAGGACTTAAAAATCAGCTGCCTCATCATTACAACATTGTGTCATGCAAATATCAATAACATAATATGATGAAAAAGAAAGGAAAAGAACAAGCAATGCAGCATTCTGAAAACATTCCAGACTCTACAGCAGGGGTCTTCAAACTTGACAGCCTTAAGACTTTTGGACTTCAACTCCCAGAATTTTTCCTCCAGTCATGTTAGCTCAGGAATTCTGGGAGTTGAAGTCCACAACTCTTAAATTTGCCAAATTTGAAGACCTTTGCTCTATAGAAATATTTCTCAACCTTGCTGGCTGTGGAATTCTGGGAATTGAAATCCACGCAGCACAAAAGTGCCAGGGAAACAATGCCCTTTCAGTTTGCAACCTGGTTCCATAGGTTGTACTAGTTGATTTTCAGATAGTTTCCTTGAATTTGCAGTCTTTGATATTATAAATTTATATAGAATGAAGAAGCACTTGGATCTTCTGACCCTGTTCAGGGCACAAGAGGAGGATATCAGCGTGGGCTGGCCGCTGGAAAGTCCGTAGAGAGAAAAGCTAGACATAACAGAAATTTGTAAGAGAGGGGTTGCTAATTAAAAGAACCATCAGAAAAGAGATCTTTGCATCTGTAAACGATAGTCTGTGGCCCAATTGTGAAGGAGACAGGTTCAAGGGTACAAAAATCTTCCATCCTAGCAATTATCATAAAAGCTCTCCCTGTTTGTAAATCAGGAGATATGTTTGTTTTGTTTTGGAGATTTGGTTCGCCTTATCAATGTTTGGAATAAAGGACATACTAACCCCCACATAGCGGCATGTTTCCTTCAAGGGCCTTGTAAACAAGATTTTTTATTATTATTCAACTTCCCTCTTAACTTTGTTAAAGAATTAAAGATATATCAAATAAAACAGGACACAATCAACAGATAAAGTGAAAAGGCTAAGGACAAGGATAGATTTGAGAGTACATGAGGCATAACACAACGTAATGAGTCAGGATTATGCCAATAAAGGCAAGATAATTAAAAGTCAGGGCCACTTTTAAGCAAAAATTGTGATACTATAATATACTATATTATAGTATAATAATATATTGGACTATAATATTTCAAAATTTGGATAGAAAAATCGCATGTTTGTCTACCACTTAAAATAGGCTTTCGCATGTAGAAAAGTTATGTGCCAAAGAAAAGATTAGAATTATTTTTCATAACTCTAGTTTTCTATACCCAGTCTGTTTTTTATATAAGAAACATCAAATCACACAATCCATCACTCTATATTCTGAAACTCTTTTCTCCCAGAAAGTTGATAATTCTTTTTTAAAAATCCATTTACCAGTACTTAATCAAAAGGTAAATGCAAGTTCAGCGTTATGGCCATGCCTTTAGAAAGTTCTCTTTTTTTTTTCCTAGAAAGGACACAAATTTATACGATTAAGAATTGCTTTCAGAAATGTTCTACAAACACAGACAATATCAAGTTGGTAAAGACAGCAACAATTTTGGTCTCCTTGGAGATGCCAGGGTTGTGGAAGGCTGAATATTACCACAGCAACCAAATTACAAAAACAGACTGAGGGCTCATGCCTATTATTCTGGCAGAGTAATTTATGTTACAAAGAACTGACTAGGGCACAAATACTGGAAAATGGTTAAGAAAACAATCAACAAACCCTATTAGCTTTATATAACTTTGGGCCTGAAATCCCATACAACACACATTCACACACACAGTGTCATTATAAAAGTAAATTCTAAGGTTTTGAAATGGTGAAGCACCTTGCTAGTGTGAAGGACTCCAGATTAATTCACAGCATAGATTTCTTTTTCAAAACAGCCATTACAAAACCATGCTAATAATGCAGAGTAAAATATATCAAATTACAATGCCCATATTGAGACAGCTGTTCAGAAAAACATGGGAGACGAAAAAATGAGTTGTAAGTCTGAGAAGTTTCTATCTTCAAATCACAAAATTCAAACATTATGTTTTGAGAGAACTCTTCACTGGCTGGATAAAAACTAGTCCATTGCATCTTTAAAGCAGCCTGCTTAATCTGTTGCTTTCCAGATGTGTTGGACCACAATTAATTCTAATAATCTCAACCCAAAATGGTCACTCATGGAAATTGTACCTCAGTACACCAGGAACTCCAAATTACCTTGAAGAAAGCTGTTTAAGATGATTGTCACAGAATTATAAATCCAACTACACCACATTTTTAAAAGAAAATTTAGAAAATGTATGTGGATGTCCAGCTTGTATAAGGGTGACTTTGGGCAGCATAAATCCATAGAACTCAAGGAGAAATCCAAAATTATAATTGGGGCAACTAATGTCAACCAGAAGAAAGCAAAATTTGATGTACAGTAGTGTATAGACAGGAGTCGTCCAACACTCATTCTACCTTAGGTTCAGCTATTCTCCTGGCTCACTTTGGTGGTACCACTAGAGTAGCATTTCTCAACTTTATTTCTCAACTTTGGCAACTATAAAAGATGTGGACTTCAACTCCCAAAATTCTCCAACCAGCATAGAAGCTGAAGTTTACACTCATTAAAATTTCCAAAGTTGAGAAACACTACCCTTGAGATAGGACAAACTAAGTTGTATTGATAGATCTGTCTTGAATCATCTTCTGTGGATATCACTAGAATTTCCCACCTGAGGCTGATATTAAACTCAACAGCATGAACAACACATTCTAATTATCTGAGGCTGGATTTGGCCTAGTTTTTTTCTTCTTCAAATGCTGATCTCTAAAACAGGCTCCTTCAACAAGATGCTAAATATTTCTAATGTTGTTTAGCTTTTGTTTTTATTGAACAAAGTTTAGAAGCACAACTGTTTGCTCATAAGCTCCATACATAATATGTTTTTGGGTCTTACAGACAGAGCAGAAGAAATAAGATTTAGACAAAAATCAAATGAGCAAGAACCTGACACAAAGCAATTAACAAAAGCATTCTGTTTTAGATAATGCACCAGATCGATATAATGTTTCCTACGACAGTAGCACTCAGCTATGTTCCACAATTAGGCAAAATTGTGGTTGGCAACGCAAAACCATGAATTTTGGCTGATGTTTTTAGGCCCTAACAAACCAAGACAAACAGATAACTTATATACAATTCATAATGTGGTTTGAGTATCTTGTGAAATACAAAACGTACAAAAGCTTATTATGTGTCTGTCTGCATTATTAGTTCCTTGCTTTGCCAAACAGCAAAATAAATGATAGTGAACAGGTCAACCAGGATATCATTGAGAGCAAAAAAAAAAATTTTTTTTAAAAATCCTGGCTTTGCTTCTTAACCCAAGGGCCCCATCAAACTGAAGATTTACCTCCCAAAGCCAGGATTTTTTTTGAGAAAATCCAGCCAAGAGAGAGTTTTCCATCTAAGCCATTTTGAGAAGGATTGTTTTTTTCGGGGGGGGGGGGGGGAAGCAGGGGTGAAGAGAAGAAAGACAATGAATACTTTCCAAATTCCAAATAGCCATATTCAATCTGTAGACTATTAAAGTAGGGCTACACAAAAGTTTTGAATACATGTCATGTCCTGCATTCATCTCCTACTATAAAATGTGTCATAAATATTTTTTGTTCAATTATTTACATCCAGATGCTAATGATTTATTAACAATACACACATAAATCTTAAAATTGGTTCTGGGATCAAGTTACTGATTTTGTATATTTTGGGGCCTAAGCAAGAACTGTATGAATCTCCCAGGGTTACCGAATGTCATAGATTCTTTTCTCTAAATTCCATTCCTTGCCTTATTATTTCTTTAGACACCCAATCCTGTCACTCCATTCCCACCCACCCCACCAAAATGAAACTATCTTAAGAACATAATTTATCTCTCTCTCCATTAGCCAGAACATTCAAACCCCATCAACCTAATCAAATAACTGAAAAACTCAACCTGCTAACCATATTATGTCTTGAAGAAGGATAGAAAGTATAGCAGTATAGAAAAGAATATACTATATAACAATAAAGGTATTCCTCCATATATGAAAGCTATAATGCGCACACCTAACTTTTAACAGATGTTTACTAAGGAAGAAATCCACATTTGGCAAGAGTTGATTGGACATATAAATTGCAGAATAACAAACTGAAAATGCATAGCAAGGGAATAGATAGAGAGGTGCCATTTCAGGCTCTTGAACATTTTGACTATGGAAAGTTGGGAGAGCTGTTATAAAACTAGTTTATTTTTGGTCTGCATATTCCCCAGATCTAAAA